TTACTAGAAATATTTAAGCCTTAACTGTAAGTTTCCCCACTTAAGTTAGGAATAATCACGTTGTTCCACTCTGACAGTGTCATTGTGGATTGTCTTGTTCAAGTAGCTGTCTTTGTGTCTCCTTGAATATTTCCATCCCCTGTCATTCACCATCTGATCACCAAATGCCCTCAGACTTCTCCACCAGTCTCTGTCTCCTGGCATCTACACCCACCTGTTGCTTCATTCAAGACGGTGGGTGTCCCAGAATTCTGTGTAGCTGTAGCCAACAAGCTTTAGACTGCGATCAAGTGCCAGGACCTAGACCTAGATCTTACTGAAGGACTGAGGTCAAGATGAATTTGAATTATTGCTTCATGGTTATATTTGACCTTTGACCTTTTGACCATCAAAATCTAATCAGTTCATCTTTGAGTTCAAATGAACATTTGTCCCATATTTGAAGAAATTCCCTCAAGGCATTAAATTAAAATTAAGAGAGAACACATCAATGTCAAAGAACAATATCAACACAGTGAATACTACTGACAGAAGTGTAAAGTCAATATGGCACTGGAAACAAATGTGTTTACCAATTATTATCAAATCAAATTTTATTTGTATAGCGCCAAATCACAATAAAAGTCATCTCAGGACACTTTACAAAGTAAGGTCTAGACCTTACTGTTATCAATATTATTACATAGGGAAAACCCAACAAATCCCCCTTGAGCAAGCACTTGGCAATAGTGGGGAGGAAAAACTATAGAGATAAAATACTATCAAAAATGTTACAAATGCATGTTTAACGTTTTGTCTGTAACAAGCGATTCGTGTGTGTGTCATGAGGATCACAAATGCGTGCTGCGCAATCTGCACGTATAAAGCCATTTGTGTGTGTGTGTGTCATGCTGTTCACAAATGCATGCTGTACAAACTGCACATAAAACACATTTTACAAATGCTTAAAATCGATTTTTTTTTGTGTGCAGTTTTTTAGAAAGTACCTACACATTGTTACATACGCATGCGTGGATCGTCTAACACACACGAATCACCTTGCGCGCACACACTTTATTATATTGCATTTTTGCATAGCATTGATGGTTTCTATAATTGCGACGTACAGTGGTGGTATTAAGAGGTGAATTAAGTCGGGTAAGTCTCCACTGAAGGCCCAGGTACCAAATGCACGGCCCGCCACTGTTTAATATATATAAAAAATGTCTATTTGGAATAGCGTTGTGTAAATACTTTTGTTTGGGAAACAGGTTTGGAAACTCAGATGTCCGAGTTTTCCACGTGTCCTTAAACGCACCGTGC